TTGGCAGATAAAAGCCAGACTCTTTGTTCTGACACTGGGAGTCCCCAAACTCATCTTTCCAGCCTCTTGTCCCACACGGTGCATGAGGACCCTCTGCTCCAGCTGGACCGGCCTACTCCCTGGCAGTCAAACACCCCTGACTTTCCCCTCCATGTCTTCACGGACACCTGCTTGGAATGTTCCCATTCTCTTGGCTTGTCTAACGCTTCGCCATCTTTCCACCGCCCATGAAGCCTGCCTCCCAGCCACCTGCAGTGGCTTAGCCTCCCGCTGCCCCTACACTCCCATGCTGCTGTGAAGCTGTGCTTACCATCTGGCTGTGTTAGTGTCAGTTACATTACATCACAGTTATTCTTTCCCACATTTATTCTGCTCTTTCAACTGGGACGTGAGCCCCTTGACGGCAGTAGGTACGCCTCATACTTCCTTGAGTCTTCAGTGCCCCTCAGAGGGGCTCTATAAATGCCTGCTGCAGCTCACTTGTCTGGGACCCACCATGAAGTTCTCATTTTTCCAGTAGTCTTGTCCCTCACAGAGACCTGGCCCCATTCTCTCATGATGTCACAGAGATATCACCAAAGCAAAACCAACCACCTTGTTCTGTTTATCCTCTATAAACACCCCACTGACCCCCGGAAGGAGGACATGGCCATCCCGATAGAAGAACGTCATCCATAGGATATCCATCTTGGTTCTCCAATCTCCCAGGACAGAGAATTAGACACACAGATTAGCACCTGCCTTTCTGTCTCTCAAACAAAGCATCATCCATTCTCTGGCTTGGAAAATCACCCCAGATTTCCAAAAGCAGGGGAGGCAATGTTGCCACTGAACAGAGTCACTAACACGCATGTTCCTGAGCCATGTTTCTGCAGCAATTAGTATGTAACCCAAAGCAATTACATATGACCTCCAAGCCCTTAGTAATTACCCTATGAACTTACCAATCATTCAGAGCAATTAGCTGGGAGCTAATTTGCACTCTAAAGTTCCCACTGGGAAGGCAGAGTTAACCCCAGTCCCCAATTCCTGCCAGGGATGCTATCTCCCAGGTAATTACCCTGACGGGATTTTGCTGTGTAATTATAAGTGATGGCTTTTCTCTGCTTCTTCAGGCCTGGGAAACAAGATGAATTCATCCTATCGATGTGCCAAGGCCTAAAACTGCATCATTTGTTTGTAAAATATGGTGGAAATTATTTAAGAAATTCTTGACTTATATTCCAATTATCATGGTATGCTTATTACATTTACATAGCAAGAAAATAATAACTTAATTCCTGTTTTCTGATTGTAGTAACCTAGCCCTTTGGTGAATCTCAGAGCACTTCCATAACTCTAATGTCATTTGACCTCATGATAACCCAGTGGGGTCAACAAGAGCTGGTCACCATCATCCTTTTGCAAAGAGAAAACTGAGACCAGAACATCCAGCAACATGCAGAGAAGACCGAAGCTAGCCAGGCTCTGATCCAGCTCGAGAAAACATGCAGCCCCCAGGCCCCACCAGGACCCAGCTGGGAACAGGGGACAAAGCAGCACTCACAGCACAACAAGGCTGGTAAGGTTCTGGAAGGCGTAGTCAGGGATGTGGCTGATGCGGTTGAGGGCCAGGGTCATGGCCTGCAGGGCAGGGAGGTTGTTGAGGGCCCTGACAGGGATCTCCGTGAGTACATTGTCATCCAGCCAGAGGTGGCGGAGGGAGGACAGCCCCTCAAAGCTCCTCTCCGGGACCAGGGAGATGAGGTTGGCATCTAGGCGCCTGGTGAAAGAGAGGATGGAGAGAGGTCAATCCAGGACTAGATGCAGACCAAGCTTTGGGGCTGGGCTGGGCTGGGCTGGGCTGGGCCGGCCAGAACCCCAACAGGGCCTTTGAGCTTCCCTGGGACTAAACTTGTGACTTGGCCACAACTTATTCTATATCCCACATCTTCAAGTTCCCAAATTTGGTGGTATCCATTCCAACCCACAGTTCTTGATCCTTTATGTCATATGCTTCTATTTATGACCCCAATGCTTCCTCTCAGACCAAAGGTTGACCCATAGCCCATTTGTGGATAACTAGTATTTCTTCCATGTCCCCAGACTTCCAGATCTATGTCATAGTTCTCCTACTCTGGGTGTGACCTTATTCTTCCCAATCCTGTCCACTCCAAGGCCATATAATGAAGGTGTTCCCAGAATTGGCAGAGGGAAATCACCTACCTCTGGACCTAACCAAAGAAAAACACCTCCCCAAAGATGCAAGCCACTCCCTGTAACCCATCCCTAGCACCACCTGCTCCTTGTCCCCTCAAGGACCCAGTAGCTTGATGGAGCTCCCGCCAGAGTCTTGGAGCTTCTTGCTTAGTTGATGACATATGGGAAGTCCCAGCATGCCACAGCTGAAGAGTAGGTAAACAGATGGCAGGTGACCGTGTCTGTGCACAACCAGAGATTCTAGGGTGACATGAGAACTTCTGACTCAAGCCCTAGAAGATCTTGGCAGCCCCAGCAAAGCAAGGAGACCACTCATGTCAGCTTTATACAGGTGTCCCTAAGCCATGATACCCTTTGTTAATGTGCTACTATTTCTGCCTCATCGTCTAGGACTTGGGATGAAACCCTATCACCCTATGCAGTTGGTCCCACGGGGCCCAGACAAGTTGACCTGTGACCACAGATCTACTCCTGGACTCAACTATGTTAAAGGGAGGCTTAGAACCGAGCCATGGCTCTCTCACACGGGCACATGGCACCTAAGCCGTGGAAACCCCAGCCCTCATTCACTAAGGCCCTACACCCCCATAATCCTGAACACAGAGGAGAGTAGAAGTGACCAGCAGGTTGGGAAGGGGAGCTTTCTTTCACCCTACAACACAAGCCCACTTGCTGAAGGTCCAGCAGTGCTCCTATCTCCTCCCTAAGCGTCTCACCAGCACTCCCTCTGTCAAGAGTCTCAAACACCACCAGGAAAATCACCCTGGCCCACCAGCACGGGGGCTGTGGGTAGACAGGCTGACGCTGCAGCCTGGGTGTGAGGGCAAACTGACCAGGACACCCCTTGAAATCTCCAACTAGGAAAGACCCACACCAAACCTGACCTGATGGGACCAAAAGCCCTTCGGTGAGTGCCCTCTGCTGGCAAGACCTGTCACCCCAGACGTGGTCCTCCAGTGACGACCACCACGCCTTTGATGGTCTGACTGTGGCTGGATCACCTGAGGAGCTTTGTGGAAATATAGACTCCCAAGCCCCTCTCCAGGGCAGTCCAGTTCAGAAGGTGTGGGGAGTAGCCAGGGAAGGCTTCTAAAGAATGCCCCGGGTGTTTCTAGGCACAGCTCCTTCAAAGGGGCTACCTCTGGAGGCTCAAGGAGAAGGGCACTCATACAGAAAGCCCTTACAACAACTGTGCTCCAGAGGCAGTGCTCAGTAAACATCAGCTACTAAGAAGACAGCATCCCAGCCCTTCCTCGTGGAGCTGCCGGTCTAGTGGGGAAGCCAGACTGATGTTCACAGCACAGCACTGTGGCAGGGTGTGGGCACCTGATCCAGGGCATCAGCAAAGGCCTCCGGGAGAAAGTGATGTTTACATGGAGACCTGGAGGTCAAGCGGGATCAGTCGGGGGAGGAGGTGGGGAAAGAGTTCCAAGCAGAGGGAACAGCATGTGGGAACAGAGAGTATAGCACTACAAGGGACCTGAAAGCAGTGAGGCAGGGCTTCAGGAAGGGGGAGTGAAGTGCACGGTGAAGCTTGCAGGGCCTCGTAAGCAATGCTGTGTTGCAGGAAATGGGGAGCCAACGAAAGGTTTTAAGAAAAGGAAGGACATGGCCAGGTTTCTGTTTTAGAAAGATCCCCCTGGAGACCACATGGATATTGGACAAGGAAAATACTGGGGGCAGAAGATCGGCAGAGACAGTTGCTTTGCACAACCACCTTGTCCAGAAAGGGACAACCGTGCCCATACCATTCATACCCATACCATTTGCCCTAGAAACTTGAGAAGTGAATTTGAACACTCCAGCGTACAGTCCCCAAAAGTGTCCTCTCCTAACGGTGATCCCTGTTGCTCCTGACCTGGGACAGCACAGTGCTGGCCTGGCAGGCTCCCTGGGACAGTAACATTATCCAGAGATACTGGGAGTCATTTTAGCATCTCATAAAGAATGATCTCCTCCTCACATGGAGGACACAATGCCCCCTCACCTACCCCACTCCCCGTGTGCCTGGGCTCCGACCACCCAGCAGTGATGGATGGCACATTGGTGTCACCTTACTCCCGTCTCAGGTCTGCACAGAGAACTCAGCCTGGAGAATGACAACCACCCACGTGGAAAGCAGAGATCCTTCCTGACTGCCACACCACCAAGCAGCTCAGCTGGCCACAGGCATGTTCTCTCAAAAGAGTTCCATTCCCTTTAACCTTTTCATCAACAGCTCCTTAGAAGGCAGGACCACCCTTCCTGGGCCCTGACCAGGAAGTAAGCCTCTGCCCTGCAGCCCTGTTTGAATCTCACCTCCTTGCATAGTTAGGGCCTTCATTTACCCAGAGTGTACTTACTCCATTCTAAGAGCACTACATGTGTCAAGTCATTTAATTTTTACAACCTGTGAGGCTGACATTTTGCAAACGAGAAAAATGAGGTACAGAGAGCTTAAGTAACAGAGAGGTCACGTAGCTAGTAAGTGGTAGAGCTTGGATTCAAACCCAAACAATCTGACTCCAAAGAACACAACCCTAACCATTACGCTGTATCACTGGCATGCTCCACAGAGTCAAAGTCACTATGTTTTTGGGTATCCCTGATTCCTACACCAACCTGGAATGCTCCCAGAACACCTCGTCCCTGCCCCATCAACGGTCTCTGGCACTTACATACCTGCCTGTGCACCCCACTGAGGAGGCCCGGGGCATTGTATAGCTTGTCATGCTGGCCCCATCATCCCACCCCCACTAGGGCATCAGTGGATATATCAGATCTTCCTCTAGGTCTTTGCTCCCCAACCTGTGGTACGTGGATCATCAGCCTCCGCATCACCTGGGAGCTGGTTAGAAATGCAGACTCTGGGCTGGCCGGTTAGCTCACTTGAGAGAGCTTGGTGCTGATAAAACCAAGGTCAAGGGTTCTGATCCCTGAACCGGCCAGCCACCAAAAAAATAATTAAGTGCAGAATGTTAGGCCTCACCCCAGATTTACCAAATCAGAACCTGACTTTTAACCTGACTCCCAGGTGATTCATTGATTCTTAAGCCCAGTAATGTTTTTAAAGCACTGAGCCAGGTCTTCCAGAGCTTCTGATGCTCTGGTTTAATGATTGTGGATAGCTAGACAAGAGAGGGAGACTGCCTGAGGAGGTAGAAGGCCATTTCCTCCTGTGGTTGGTGCTCAGCTGGTCCTGGGAGACCTTGTTCTTGGATTTAGCCATCAATTACTCCAGAAAATGAGCGCTCTACCTCACCCTCCTGGCTATGCTAATGAAACAGCAGGCACTAGGTTCAGTTTTTAATTCCCAGCACCTAGCACAATGCCTCATTCACAGATGACACTCACAAAGTGTTTTTCAATGAGTGAGTGAATGCCCTCCAAAGCCCCTGCCTCCAACCCCCAAACAAGTGGCCTGACAAGCATAGTAGTAAGCTGGAGAGGACCTGGACAGCCCCTCTTACCAGGGCTGGTTGGGCATCCGGCTTTCCTGCTTTGACACCCCATTCTATTGCAGTGAGGGTTCTCATCCCCGCCTCTTTCTCCCACCCATAGAAGCCCGCCCAAAAGATGCCCATGGGAGGAACTGGGCACCTGGCAATTATAGGTTCTCCTGGTGGTCTGGGCTACGAGGACAAAGCACCCCTTTAGAGGTGGACTCCCCAAAGAGCTCAGAGAGGAGAGGAGGAGGAGCCGGAGGGGCAGAGGAGGAGTACTGCTTCTACTTTCTCCCCCTCCCCTCTTGTTGGACACCTCCTCCTCCCAGGAACCTGAGTCTTGGAAACCCCCAAGGGCAGCACCCTGGCTGTAGAGAAGTCCCTCCCACTCCTTTCCTACCCAGCTTCTGATAGGATGGGGTGCTTTCTGAAGAAACCCCACACCCCCTCGAGTCGGGGTCAGGCTCCCCTGGAGTCCCCAGTCCTCTGGGGTGTGTGGGCCCTAGGCTCCTCTGCCATCTGGGGGATGTAGGAGTAGCTGGGAGAGCCTCTGAGCAGCGTGCAGAAGCCACCATTGGGGACTGAAAGAGCTTTTTGAGCAGCTCTCCGCCGCAGGTGGGGGAGCCAGTCCTGACGGACTCTGGCTTGGCAGGAAGAAGAGAGCAATTATACCAATTAAGCTCTGGAACTGAATCAACAGCCCCACAGCTCTCCTGCTTCTCCCACGTGGACCTGGGCCCTTGAGTGATTTCTGATTATAATTCTTACCTATGGTAATAGGGCAGATTAGCAGGGACCTCATAGGCCGGTTCAGGCTTGCTCGGGCTCTGGGGAAGCAGCTTCAGCTCTCTAGGGCCAAGCTGCTCCTCTACTCCCCCAGCCTAGGGCTGAGGCTCAGGCAGGGAGGCAGGGAGGGAGCGAGGGGAGGTGGGGCCCCTGCCCTCTGAGCCCCAAGGGGCAGGTGCTATGAAAGTGACCTGGCCAAAGGACATTGGGGCCCGGTCCCACCTGACGAAAGTGAGATGAGGACCTAACAGGAAGCAAGTTGTGGCAGAAGAGCTTTAGTTAGGCAATAAGAAGTTACTCATGGACAGTGACCTAGAAGGTCAATAGTGTAAACTCAGAGTCACATCATAGCAGA